TTATTAAAAAAGATAATAGATATAAGCTAATTGTTTAAAGTAATGTTATATAAATTATTATTTTAATTATATTTACAATTTCAATGTACATTCATAATATTGGATTGTCCGGAAAGTTTGTGCCGATTTTGAAGGAAAATTGAAACGCAGAAGATTTAAATTTTAGTATACATTTATTAAATTTAAATCTTTTGCGGCACGAACTTTCCGGACAACCCAATATAATGTTCTCAACTCCAAACAGACACACCTAATAGAAACAAGCTTAAAATCTTCCATATTACTAGATTCACATAAATTTCTCTCGAAAAATATTTACTGTATTTTAATAGTAAAAAAAATAGAATATTATGTTTAGTATTTAATTATACATTAGTAATTTAACTTAATAAAAAAAATTTTTTTTTATGTATTTGCGCTAGTTTTCTTTATAATTTATTTAAATACAAAGGCAAACTGATAAAGACATCTGCATAGAATATGCAGATATCCTACGCTGAAATGCCTATTTACTAAGATCGCACCTGCAATTCATGGACAAATGATCGTTTAAACGTTATCTATAATTGGCTATATTTAAATTTCAAAAATTAATAAATGAAAATGTCTACATAACTTTTTTACTTCATTTTTCGAAAATTTTCTTGCTATGTTGTTTTGATTCTCAAATTTTAGGATCTATATATACATGTATTTGGAAGCCATATTAAATTATTATTAATTAAAAAAATTTTGATATCATTCTGATACAAAAACAAAGTTTTGAATTACGTCATGCCATAAGAAGCACTACCTTCAATATCTAAAAATATTTAATCCGCTAGAATTACGTTTCTAATGTCTTTTAATATATGATGTGTTTGGCGGTCACATTGAATTGCGTTATTTGAGAAAATGTCGATATTAATTTGATATAAAAACTGTCTGATATATCATAATGAGTTGTTCTTACCTTACCATTCAACCCTTTTATATTTATTATAAAATAAAAAAAAATTATTTAGTTAGATTCGGCATGAGATGTGGAATTTATTCATTTCCTATGTGCTCAATAAATTATAATCGAACGAAGCATCGAAGGTGACATGGTCGTGCAGCATGACGGCCTCGCATGTAATAAACCCTGACATACTTCGTTTGAATATCGGGCTCCAATTTCCGATATATAATTCCGCATGTCCGCCGACGTAGACCAGAATATTGTACGCGCTTGTCAGTACCTTACCCCTCAATTCTTTTAAGGCCCCAAAGATAATCCCCCAAAGAATAATAAATATCGAGGATCAATTCGGAATTGAAATGATACCATATACATGGATCAATGATTAAGAGAACAGATATCATCACAAAATGCTTAAAATAAGATACCTTCATATCTCATAATATAATGTGTTGATCGATTTTTTGTTAGTTATACTAATCTGTCGACATATGTACACGAGATCAGCTACATTATAGTTGTATGTATGTAACAATCAATAATAACTGTCAAACTAATGGTTCCGGTATTTGTCTTTTCCTCGATCAAATATAACCACTGAAGTCTCCCATCGTTTATACTTTTATTATTCCCTTCGAAGAAAAAGAATGGCGATCGTGAAGAGAAATTGAATTTCCTCTTTTCCTCGAGAACTGTTTCTCACGCGGAGGGATGGAAGAAAGGGAAAAGTTTTCGTCGAGAACGCGAGGGAAGAGAAAACCTGACGGCGCTGATGCAGAGCGGCTATTACTTGTCGAATCTCACGAGAGAATGTTTGCAACGTTGTACGAATAACAAATGATTCACACTGACGTTCGTGTTGTCTCAGAACGTGTCATTAACGCGGAAAGAGAAAAATCGCTGGAACCGAATTCTTAATGAATAAAGATGTAACAGGCGTCATTTTCATCTAAACTTAAGCGAGGAAAATTGCTCGATTTATCGCTTTCTATAGTCTCTTCATTATTCTATTTAAAATAAAGCGGAAATATTAATCAAACATGATTTTCGTAAAAGGATTTTTATATGGAAAATTCTAGCTAACTGCTCACAAAAAATATTCTATTGCTAAAAAAAGTGATTGCTTAGTTTACTTTTTTTAAGTAATGATTATCTTTAACAAAGAATATTTTTTGATAATAGTTCAATATATTAGGTGTAGTAAAAAGAAATTCATTACTTTTGCATGAAATTGAATGGAAAAATAATGGATTTCTTTTTACTACACCTAATATTCTCTTCAAATGTATTCTCTTATTATAATTTTTAAAAAAATTCATTATTACTTAAAATAAGAATTTATTTTTAAAAATATTATGAAAGCTATCGAAAAAGTGATTTTATATAATAAACAAATCGAAATTGTTCTAATTTTATTATCTTAATTAAAGTGTTAAACTTATAGGATTCAGAATATTGAATCCTATATTTTTGTGATGAACTTGTAATAGATTTGCGAATATATAAACTTTTAGAATGAAATATTTAAAACAAATAATTAATATTTAAATATAGTATTTTTAAATACGTATTTTTCTATATAGAAAGAAAACTATAATTTCTCGTTAATACATTTAATTACAAAAATTACAAGCCCAAGAGATTAGTTAATTATCATACTTGTAAAATTTGCAAATATTCTGAAGTTTTATGTATATATCATATTTATGTATATTATCATATTTATTATTGTTAAATATTTAAAAGTCATTACTGTTCCTTTATGCAAAGAATTTTGTTCGCTCGTAAAATCTACTTGTCGAATTTATAATCCTTCCTGAGATCCGAGAAGACGTTCTGACGTGCCATGATAAATTTCGATCAGGACTTATGACACGAGCTCCCTGACGAAGTTTGCGACCCTTTCACGACGCGAGGCGAATGCGATTTATCGGTGAAAAAGAATATAGCACAAGCGGGAGGGTGCGAATAATTAAAATAAACGGCACCATTTTTTTTTACGCTTTTAAAAGTACACACGGTTATTTATGTCAGAATATACGACGTCTTTGTAAATGTGCATGAATTTATAGGCACACGGAATGAGTCTGGAAGAATTTGAGATTAAACGGATTACTTCGTTAGGAAACGGTCGTTCTATTTGTAGGGCATGAGAGAAAAAAATGTTGAAGTTTATTTAAGGAGAAAGTTTATAGAAAAACAAAAGTTAAAGACTCCCTGGTTTACTGTTCTCGATTTAGAAACATGATGTAAGAAAATGAACGAGATATATGTAATTTTCTTTGTACGTTTAATGTTAAATTTTTTTTTCCATCTAATCGTAAATCATATTGGTATTATATCTTGACAGAGAGAAGAACCGATTAAACTGTAGTTAAAGTTTATCTATGTTAATGACCCTTAAATAAACAAGCTTCAATATCAGCCATATTTAGTATCTAAACGACGAGTACATAAATCAGAAACGTTTATGACAGGCAAATCCATTTTGATCCTTGAGCAATTGCTTCAATGACGTCAATGTGACGTCTATATTTTGTAGTAAGTATAATAAAGTATATTAACGAGATACATATACAACGATCTGTTAGGTAAAACCTTGGGTACAGAGAATATTTAACGGAAAATGAAAAATATGACTATCTTAATGTTTTAGATTAAAATATATTTTTTTAAAAGAAACTACTGTATTTTTATAGAAAGACTCTTTA